CGAACGTGCAGTTGATGCCACGCGGGAGGTCGCCAATGTCGCAAAGCTAGGCACGCTCAACGAGATGTTGGTTGGCGACTATGCCCGTATCCTCGTCAGCGCCGGCTTGCAGATGCTCAGCAACGTTCTGAATCGTAGCGAGACCTGGGCATTCTCGCTAGCCAACGACAGCTCGACACACTTGAGCCTGTCATATTTCGAGCAACGAATTCGTCTGCACGTTGCCGGCGATATCTTCAACCTGCATTTGATATCCATGCCCATGTTCGACCGGCACACCTCTGAGAACATGGCGTTGCTCGTGTTCAAGATCCTGGACGTCGTTTGTCCCAGCTGGCGCGACAAACTTCTCTGCGTCAGCACCGACGGTGCGAATACGATGACCGGCCGTCACAATGGCGTTGTCGCACGCATTCAGCGTGAGGCCACTCATCCATTGTACCGTATTTGGTGCCTGATTCATCAGGTTGACCTGGTCTCAAAGCGCAATCTGCTCGCTCTATTCGACGGCGATTTCCAATGCATCATCAACAAGGTCGCCACCTGCTTGCGTAAACAGCAGAAGCTGATCGACGATATGGGTGCGACCTGTCCGAAGATGACCACTCGCTGGCTGGCCTTAGGCGTCTGGACCAAATGGCAACTCGATCATCGCATCGACCTGGAGACCTGGTTTGCGAGTCGTACCGCGCCAGGGCAGCTGCAGCTGCCCCGTTGGTGGTGGCCAATCATTGCAGGCGTGTGTGCGGTGATGACGCAGCTGAACTTTGCCATCGTCAAACTGCAGTCGAAGAATCTGCTGCTTTCGCAGCAGATCGCCGAGATCGAACGCGTCGTCAGTATCATCTGCATCAAGTGCGAGGTTGAGGTCGTGAATCCGCTCGTCGAAGGAGAAGTTGCAGCCGACGAGACGCAATCGGCAATCTGTGGTAAGTGGTCGATCACTCATCGCAATGTCGAGAAGTTCTTGCTTGACCAGGGTTCGTTCGTCAAGCATGTCTTGGATGCCATGACCGTCATTCAGCGTGCTGAGGTGTTCAGTGAGATGGGTACTTTCGTTGTCGGCATGATCGATGGCATCTTACAACTGGTCGCTTCTCGGGACGCTGACAACCTACCATCGGAGGAGGAGATTCCGCCGGTGCTGCCCCACCAGCTTATCGCGATTCGACCAGCCGCATTCGCTGCACTCGCCAACAAACACGGCGGACGACTTGCTCAGCTGGGCGAGAACGTCATGGATCGCATCGAACAAGATCACCGTGAACTCATCACTGCATTCGACAACGAGCCGTCGCTTCACGACGCGCTTGGTCGCTGCAACAACGATACGTCATTTCGTGAAGGTTGGGCGGTCGTCGAGGGTCGTTTCCGTGGTCTGCGTGACTTCTGCGGTGGCATCGCCACCATCTTTCCAAACACTGCTTCGGTGGAGTCCAACTTCTCAATTCTCGGCTGGGAGAAGGATGCAAACCGCATGTCCCTCACCGATCTGGCGTTGGAAGGCTGCATGCAGGCGCGGCAGTTTGATCTCCTATCAAAACTAGCCTAATTCGTCAAATAAACCATTAGTTCCACTTTTACCCCTTTTAAGCTTTGTGGCGACCATTATATAAGCTAAAAGGGGTAAATGTGGATATTACCCCTTTTAAGGTGGCCTGTACTACAATCTACAATCTAAAATATTTGTCTAGAATATTTCTACTCTAATTGTAGTTACTCATATTGATAACCTTGTATTATCATATTAAAAATTAATCAACTCACCCTATTTTTTTTGTATTGTAAAATAGCTTTAATTGTAAGATTTTTATATTAAAAATAAAAAACTTCATGCAATAAATTTGTGTTATTATTAACGTAAAAATCCAAAAATCTAAATAGTTTGAATGTAAGAATAAAAATTAATATCTAGAATATAAATGTTTTCAAAAAAGATTAAATTGCAATGTTTTGTGTTTTATTTTTCAAATTGATTACATTGATTACATATATTTTAAAAATTAAATTAAATTACATTGAACATTAGAAAAAAATAAAATATAAACTTTTGTGCAAATACAACCTTTATAGGTTTATATGAGTTGTACATTCATATTTGTATATAATTTCACTTCAAAAAAGATGCTAACAATCTATGTATAAAACCCAAACGCATACGTTATATGCTTATCCCAAAACATTATTAGGCTGACATAATTTATCACCATACAATATTATTATTTAAAAGATGAAACATAATACAATTTGTGTATATTGTTAACACTCATTGCATTACAAATAATCTATAGGTAATCCTAATCATTTGTTCATACAGCTTCTAATTTATGAAAAATGCATTGTTTGAATCATGAAGCATTTTTCTTTAGGTTGATTTAAAATAATACTATCTTTTTAATTGATTCATCTTAAGAATTTGGAGCTTGTTTCTTTAGTATTTGTCTTAAGTTATTTTTTTTAAATATTTCAAAATGATCATTGATTTATGGTTTTGTAATTAATCATGTCTTACGTATGAAGACCTAGATGAGTTTGAAATGAGTTTGAGTAAATATTTAGTAAACTCTAAAAAAAAACAAATAATATTTTTCAAACATTTCTTCTTTTATTACATACCTAACGAAAGCAGATAATCTAGGATTGAATCAGATAGACTATTTCAAAGAGTTATGTGATGCATACGTACAATTTTACCTATATTGAATTCAAATCAAGTGTCACAAGTACAGTATGCAACATTTGTACAAAATACAACCTAATTCAACCATGTCGTCCAAATATATATCGTCATACATTCTACATTGCTGACATGCTACTCACATACACATACACACACATATACACATATAAGACGCGAGCCCGTACACACTCAAATGTACCACAACTCGCATAGGTCTTTGAGTGAAAAAAAGAAATCTTTCCCACTTGAATTCACGTCGGTATGATTACCCCATGGCAACAACCGTCACATACAAAGTCAAGTCCAACTCACTCCAGAGAGATTCCAGATCGACGCTAACGGGCAATCGTTCTACTCGCTCTACTCCTAATGCGCTAGGCTCGACTCGAAGAACTGACAATTTTTTGAGTCGTCTTCGACCCTATACCATTCGCGACTTGAAACCCTAGCTCGACGACATTTTTAGTAAATACTGAGTTACATGATAACCATAAAAAAATAATGTTAATGAAATGTTTGTTTCATTTGAAACTATTAATTGAAATCAGATTGAAATAAATCCAATAAGTGATATTGAAGCTAAGGAATATGAACTTATGATAAAAAACAATTTGGTTCTGTTTTTTTTTTGCAAGCAGCTGTAATATAGAAACATGAATTAAAAGAATTTGAAATTCTAATATTTTGAATCTTACATTATAATATATAAAATTTAATGTTTATTTTATATATTAGTTATATAAACTATCACATTTTAAAGTAATACATATATGTATTACTTATAAAAGTTTTTATTGTCTTTAAAGTCCAATCAATCAAATTAACATGTACATTGATGAATTTATTTGGGTTATCTTGTAATTTTATTGATATGATTGGAGTAGAATGATAGAGAAAAGTTCTCTATGGATGAATTCATTCAATCTTTTTGATCAATCAGATTTATTACAACTCTCAACTGTATAGTTTGAATCGAAATGCAAACGAAAATATCTGCATCATGATATTCTTGGCTCAACTTTCAATTGTTCAGGTTTGTAGATTTCTTTAGTATGCCTGCAAGATTGTATTTTTTGAATTCCTCACAACACTTTTGATATTGAATAGTTATATTATATGAATAGTTTAGTGACTTTTTTGGAACAAACACCATGATTTTGATAAAAATAAAAAAAAATGCATTCTGCGCATGTTCACTCTAACTTTTGTTGGAAACCTTGTTATCTGGAGTTTAAAAAAATAAAATACTGAGAGTCACATACAAATTGTGTTACAATTATGTAATCAAATTGTGACATGTTATAAAACTTTCATCCATGTCTTCTGGATCCACGCGGAGGGGCCACATGCTCAGCCGCCGCGAGTTGAATATATCGTTACTGCATACTGCCATCTATATTCTGAACACCAAATGACGAATATCATAATATCCGTTACATATGAAGCTTCCTCGAAGGTGCTTGATGATACATTTGACGTCATATATTTTCGTGACATGCGTGTTTAAAAAGCTAGAATTATTGAAAGAAAACTCCAACTTACTTTCTTTAAATTCTACAATTCTCTCTTTTTGACTAAAAATTCATACGTGAGTTTTTATATAAGTCTCGAACTAAAAGTAACTGCATTTATCTTCAGTCAATAAGAATTTTCTTTTAAGAGACGTAAGTGCAGAAATTAGAACTTGTATAAATTGAAAATAAACAATAGATATTAACTAATTTACCAGATTAAATAATATGTGAAAAAATATTATTTTCTGACATTCTTCATGTATATTGAGTATTCACGACGTTAGACATTGAATATCATGAACACAATTGTATTCAACGCCAGCAATGACTAGCGGAGAAGTGACTGTTCAGAGTTTAAAAGACATGGGATGCTCATGTTTCAACTAGGCCATTTACCATAATTTCAATATTGAAAATCATGAGACTGAATTTCAGTGCAGTTTTGACCACTGTGCCGACCAGTATTCATGAAGAAATCATGAATCTCGATATATAATGAAGCTGAATGACATAGTGGAATTTAATAATGTCAAATTCATTCATGCAAGTCTGATGATTTGATCAAAGTAGTCGTGAAGTAAGCGTTTATACTGAAATCTCTACACTGTATTTTATTGCTAAAAACTGATGAACATCAACATCATTCCCAAGGTTTCACATCACTTGCTTTACTTTTTATGTAATCAAAATCTCTTATACCTTTCATACATCAGTGCTGAAATTCGAAACATCTGAGCAGTGTATCATATTCTTGATTTTTTTTTCGAACTTATTACAAACACGTAATTGAAAAACTATGTAATGTCAACAATTGAAACAACCTTTTAAATATATATTTGTTCTTTTTATGATGTTTCAGAAAGCGTTAGAAAATAACTACATGTAACCCGAAAGCATTGAAATTGAAGGAATCCTGACTATGTGGTTTCGTCCTCCATTTGACCTCAACCATGCACAAGAAAATTGCTATTTGTAAACTGCTGACAGATCTGAAGGATTGATCGAGTCCTCCGAGAAAGCGCGTGATGTGTTGATATGTACATTATCACAGACCAAAGTTCCAGCGTCCTGAGTACATTCCAAACATCGACACTCTCTCATCTTTCTATTTATCAAGCACTCTGTTGCAACTCAAACTCTTAAAACTGTACAAGAATGCTGGATGAGCATTTCAGGTGGAAAACCTCGCGATTGATTACTCTGAATTCATAGGAGTGAGCTTAAATAATATTCATTCTCGGTTGTTGACGATTGAAGCAAATAAGAGGTTTTGGTCTTTCCGCGAATTTACGAGAAGGCAAAGAATTCAGATTTCACTTTCGGGGGCACAAGTTTGAATCCTTACGCATGGAAGGCATTGAATTACACCGTCCGACGAGGCCGAGAGAAGAGAGACCAGATTAGGTTTGAACAGTCTCGATAATAGATAGCTGGGCACATTCAAACCCTCGTGAAAGACGAGGTGCACAAAATCCCTGCGCCTTCTTTCGCCGCTACATCCACTATGTCTCGCATTTGCAGCTTCATGGTCTGTGTGGTGTTCACACTCTTTCTATGAGCACAAGATGGTAGCGTTTCTTCAAGTGAGTGCAATTCTTGAGTCGCATCGAGTAACGCGATCAGTTTGTTTTCAGCGGTGACACAACTTACTCTCTTCCTGAAGGGATAACAACCCCAGTTACTACGAGGGCAGGGGACATAGGAGAGTCGGAGTCCCGGGCGACTGGAGGAGAGCGTTTTTTGTCCCCAGCTTACGTAAATGTGAGGTGTGCACTGATTTATTTAGGGCTTTAGTGAAAAAACGTTTAAAACTCCGGTTACGGGTATACGAGGGTTTAATTACTGAGTCGTTCTTGATCATTTCTCGGTGGGTGAAAGTAATTCAATTCTTCCTCTTTTGTTGTTCGAGATTTGAGGAGAGTATCTGTTGAATCTTTCTCTTGTTTTTTAAAATCAAGATCAGTGTGGACCAGGATATGTTGGATAAGCATATAGAGAGACAGAACACTGGATGTCACTGACATCATCGAGTACGCAATGGTTTGAAGGCATAAGTCAAATCTTGGAAGGAGAAATAACTGATCCAGTGAGTTCAGCAGTGGCCCTGCTAATCTTCATGTTATCGATTTCATAATTCCTTCTCTCACGGCTTGACACCTACAGACCCAAATTCTTCACCTGCACTGTCGCGACAATATGAAACAAGACAGTGGCTTCTTTCTTTGATGAGTTGGTAAAGTCTTATGTGGTGATTTATGTGCCGTGTGATGTAACTGAGCCGAAGTGGACGATGGGAGTGATGTGAAAGGGACACAGTCAGCACTAACCTCTGGCGATTTTTCTCAACTGACATAAAATTTTCCAATCCATCGGCGATCTTCAACCTCTGTAGCTTGTTAACTATTTCGTTCTTTGGTGAGAAGACTTAGAAAAGTTGTCCTGGGCTGGCGTCTTACACGACCTCCTCACATGCTCCCCTAGACAGACACTGCACGCTGCCTCTTGTTTGTCGAGTGTTCTCAATATCCACAATCTTCCCCGATATACTTCCCGTGCCAATTCAACGATTCTGCGTCCTATGATCTAGGTCGAGTGCAAGGGCGGTCCTCGGACGCTTACTGTTCCCTTGTCAAGTGTACCCTCCAATTCATGAGTTTGGATTGTCAATGGATACAGGTCCAGACAGGACAGGAGTAGATGTTGATTTGAGCCATTTTTTGCAACAGTATACACACTCCAACAATCCGTAACGAGGCGAAATTGACCAAAGGCTCGAACTTTCGCTCTGGATTACACGATTTGGAGTTGACTTCAGGTCGTGGAACGGAGGCAAACATCGCAGGTCTTGAGAAGTTATATCGAGGGAGTTGGTCCGTTGTTTGTGTCGCATGCAGTGAAATTTGGCTGGAGCAGAGACATCTTTTGCTCCAGAAGAAACCGCATGCGATCAACCGGCCCGTAGTAGTTTCTTTCTGTGAATCAAGTGTCTCCAACTTTGCCATGCATCTTAATCCCCGATGCAAGAACTAGAACAATTACCGATAGCCTTCGTCGATTGACGCCAAAAGCAAAAGGGTCTCCTCTTTTGCTCATCCGCCTCCTTTCCACTGCAAGAATGAGGATTTAAACTGTATACTGCTCAGATACTGGATCCTCAGTCCAGTCTCAAACTCAAATCGATGGGTTCGGTAAAGGTCGATACAGCTCAGCACATTGGAGTTTGACATAGATCCATCAATGAGATCCATATGGGGACAGCGGCCCTTCAGTTATTGCCACATTACAATGAAGTTCAGTCTCTGGCACGTGTTCCCAACCCTCACATGGCGAGGAGAATAAGGAATGAGGACGAACGAGAATTAGGATGCGAAGAAGCAAAACGAGGTGCTATAAAACACGGGAGAAGAATCCTCCCGCAGCAAGGCCAGGTGGCGAACTCACGCATAGCATGGGATCCTCTGCTGGAAGGACTTTTGTAGTCATGTGATGCATAAGAAGCTGATTCAATTGTCAAAGTCAGAAATTTCAGATGAAAAGCGTGTGTTCCGTGACAGACAAGGGAAACTCACGTTGATTCTTTGGCGACTGAAGAAATTAATGTCAGCTCTCACAGATTCGAGTCTAGTCAAGGTCGTTGTCGAATTGACGAGTTACAGCTGTAGGAGACACGTTCGGTATCCCCTTGGTATCGACTTCATTTACCTTTCATTACACTAACGTCAAATGATAGAAGTACGTGCAAATCTGTAGCCCATGTGACCAGAGAACAGAAGATGGAGAATCATCCTGCCCCGCACCTACACTGGGAACACAGGGAATCAAGCAAATTTAGTTTGGTATCATCGGTTTGTCGTTCAGTGTACGTCAAGTTGGTTTTCTTCCCCTCCTCTTGGGTTCGACTTGCAGAAGAGAACGACTTACAGAGTTTCACCAGCACGCCCTTTTCACCTCCTCTTCTATGGATCTCTGCTGGTTAGTTCCAGTCTATATATCTCTACTCCACTTTCATTGTGGTAGTTTTCTTGAGATTCTATCCTCTGGGCTGCTGTAAATTTCCATCATCCTTGGTATGACTTACTGCTCGTGCAGACTTGGTTAAAATCTTTGTGAGAATTGATGGAGAACATGCTACTTTTTTGTCTACTTCTTTAAGTCGAAGCATGTTTCGTACCAGCTCTCTTGCAGACACCTCAAGCCACTGCATTGCCCTGGGAGGACGCAACAGGGTTCCGAGGTCACACACTAGAGTAACATGCCACGACCACCACATTGAAGGCTGATGCAGCAATCCGTCCAGGGAGTTCATTTTTAGTAAAGAGTAATCCGGGATGGAACACTCAGAAGCTCAAAGTTATAGTTGATTTTTTGGGGATTTGTTTACTGGACTATGACTACTGTGATCATTAATAGATATTTACTTGCTACTTATTGCAATAGAATAAATTGATCACTTACAGTTTAGTGTTTTAAATACTGTGACTAGCAGATCTTGCAAGCAGCTGGAAGACCCATGTGGAGATATGCAGAGTTGGGAAACTACAGTATCAACTTTATGGAGTTACATCTATCTGCGAGTATATCGCTTCAGTCCTAGTGAGATATGATAGCCCTGACCTTTATTCTCAAGTCATATCGTTTGTTCCTCTTTGTCCGTGGAGAGAATTTGTGTGTCTTGTTGGCTACATGAATGGAGTTTACCGGATTCAAGTTCACGATATTGACGTGACTGCCGCTTATTCGTCCATATTGTAAGGTCTATCAGATCTGTCGAGACCGAATGACGCCTTAGCCTTCACAGTGAAGGATCTCAAAGAAAGTGTCAACAACCCTTTATACGCAAAGGGTTGAAATGCAATCATGTCTTGGCTGCAGGAATAAGGTCATTTTACTTCCACATTCACGACAATGGTGAAGACTCCGGATAGCTCCTGCAAAAGGTTCACGTTCAGATCTCGTGCTTCCGGGCCGACCTTTATCGGATTGTCTGACTTCATTTCGAATCTCGAACAAAACTGAGCTGTGCTTTCTCCATTTCTGCCTTCGTCAGAATTGCTGAATTAGATGGAACTTTCAATTTAATTCCGATCAAAGATTACAAGAAACATTGCAAGAATTACAAAACCTTTCTTTCGGGGCAGTCACAAACTAAAGCAGTTCGCTCACAGATTCCATACACAAATTGTTTGGAGGATGTCTAGTCTCCTCATGGCGGGAGGAAACAGAAACTATTTTTCCATTAGCCCTGATCCTTACACCGTAATAACACAAAGAAGCTAAGGTTTTGGCCAGGTGTACAGGACGAGAAACGATGCACTGCCTATATGAGCGAAAATGGGAGTCATGTGGTTGGAAACTTCGGGCATGACGATTTGTGTGCCTGTGACCTGCGGAGTATGGCCTGCTGCGTCCGTGTATCCATTTCGTCGACGGGTTGAATTTCTGGCATTTCAGCTGAAACGTTGCGAAGGTGACTTAAACTTGTGACCTGAGAATATGTATTATCTCGAGCTGACATATACTACCTACACTTATTCGCGTGTTTTAGGCCAAAAAGCAAGGGAGGATACAACAGCTAGATATGAGTTACAGCCAATTGATATTTTGTAGCTATATATTGTCGAGGTTTCGAGCTTTGAGAGCAAATGAAGAAGCCTATGTGGATTTGCACATCTGCACATGGTTTATGTCTAGATCAGGCTCCCATTGTAAGCACACAACTTCAGCAGCATCATACATGGTCCAAGCATTTTCTGAAGCATCCTTCTCCGCGATTTCATACGAAGTGAGGAGAACAATAACGTGATTTCAATTTTGAAAGAGTTAGATACAAATTTCCATGCCAGAGTACTTCAGGTGACTCAGATATCCAGGGTTTGGTGGTCAAAGCACTACACGGAGAATCTGCACTGCAGCGGATTAAAGTCTTCTTTGCTGATCACTGCACTAACTCGAGCTAAGTCATGGCTGCGGACTTGAAAAATCCCAATATTGATTCTGTTCTCTTGACATGCACGCAGAAGCAAATAACAGTGAAACGTGAGTGGGTTCTTTCACTGGTCGTCAACAGCACGTACATAGCTAAGACGCAATTAACAATTTTTTCTTCAGTAGTCATTTCTTTTTCCTCTCGGGCTATGAACGATTTGTAACCTTCCTCTTTCCGACTTGCATTTGTCAACACTGTTGCAAGCTTTACGTTCCAACTCTTTCACGAACAGTCGAACATTTCTGCATAAGGTTTCAAGCCGCTTGCTACATTATCTTTGTAGAGTAATTTGGCTCCAGAATTGCAGAATCACTCTCTAACTCTTTTAGCTCTACTCTGCTGCAATTGTAAGTCGAACCCTACCGTGCATCCACGGATCTTTTGCAAGAATTCGTTGAAACTTCATGTTTTTTTAATCGAATGCCTGAATTATTTTCTTTTCTGGTGTCTGGTGCACAGAAGTTAATGTTTTTTCAAGTGGACTCTCGAGGAAAATAAATGAATTGCAAAGTCTAACTACAGATTGCTGCATAATTCAGCATGTTCCCTGAGTTGTAAGAATGGTTTGTCATCGTGAAAGCAGGTATGCAGTACGAGCATTCAGTTCAAAATTATTGGTAGCCTAAAGCGTGCTTTTGGCCTTCAGACAAGACTAGAGTGAAAACCTTTTAACTTGGGGTTATCTACTGAAGTTTATGAAGTTACTATGTTTTGGCAACCATCGACACATAGCTCCTAGAATGAAATTTTACTCTGCAAATTTTCATTGCGGGCTTTGATCAACAGCATGAAAGAAACTCAGTTACTAAGGTCGATATAGAAAAATGAAGACAGGTCTGGGACTACGTGTTACTGGGAAAAATCTGGGTAGAGATTTCCGTAGGAACGCTCTTGCTATAATCTGAAAGTAGAATGTTTCTCTTCGGCCTAAGCTTTTGTCGCAATTAAATGATCCAAGAATTATCACGACAAATGGTACTTCTTGGATCATTTAATTGCTGCTCTACCGGGTATAGGTGTTCAGCAGCAATATAATGAGTCGAGGTTGCAGGCCACTGTTTCGACCGGGAGGATGTTGCCTCCACGAGGACTTGCGTTCGACTTTCTCCTCTGTGAAAATTGAAAGCCGCCTACCTTTCCAGGGTGAGGTGCGAGGAATTCTACATGTGGGTTATGAGTTAAAGGTGTCCACGATGATTCTAGATTAAGCATCCAGGACAGAGATGAAGAGTATGCGGCATGGCTTTTAGGGGTTTGAAAGGCCCGCGATTTGTTGGGTAACTGATTCTTCGAAGAAGAAATTCAGTGCGACAATCGACAATGCATGAAATCTGCCCCGTCCGGCTCCCAAGCGAAGATTCCTCCCTTTTTCTTTCTCTCTCTCTCCCTCTCTCTCTCTCTCTCTCTCTCACCGGAGGGTCGTTCGATCGACGCCGAAACTGAGGACATCGAAATTGGGCTCCCGAAGCACGTAAAATATGATCTACCCTGCGTCCGATCGACTGGCTGCTCACAACAAACCTGCCGGCAGCGATGATCCAGCCGCTGTGTGATTCTGGGACATCTGCGAGGATCGCACCACGCCAGTGGCTGCAGGCCGAAACGTGCCTCGGCGTGGGCAGCATCCTGCGGTCCGCCCATCTCGAACGCGAGGCCGAATTCCGTGCTGCTCGTCGAGATTCCTTGTCCTACACGTTGCTCCGATTTCTCATCCACGGAGCGCTCGAAGGACTACTTCGGTGGGTACAGTAAATAAAGACGCGAACGTTACAGACATGCACAATATACAGAACATTCCGTTGCTCATGTGAATAGAGCTGTATCGCGGCGCCAACGTACAGCAGGATCGAGCCGCTGCTGCAGAGGTTTCGAGTTCACACACTCAGCGGCTCAGGTTCAAAAATAGCCCGCAGAGGCGTGTTGGAGCCTCAGTGCATCCACCTGAAGGGTGCTGACGCGGCATCCGAGCTGTCAAGGTCGAAGGAGATCCAGGTGGATGGGCGGGGATGAACTCTCGGACGAGGGCCGCTGCCACGACGAACTCTGACACGGCCTGCGAATCTGCGTCAGAACTAAATTCCTGAACATTCGACGACATATCGCTGTCGGCGTTGTCCAAAACCGGCAGTTCCATTCGCGGATGCTGCTCGTGGACGTAATTTCAGTAGAGCGGGTCAAAGGATTTGACGAAACAATTTGTTCTCCCGATACAGCACAAGATACACAGGCATCCGGATCGTATCGTATCTATGGCAACGATGGATGGACAGATGAATGGTGGGATTGCGAGTGAAGGGGTGGGGGGGAGAGAGAGAGAGAGAGAGGGAGCGAGGAGTCGGTGACGTGACGGATGCTGAGTGGAGTAGTTGATACACAAATGCTGTACAGAAGAGCATACGAGCATAGAGAGTCGGTCATTTAATAAGCAGACAGAAAGAAGGGAAGAGTTACACAGTCGAGGATTTAAAACGAAGGCAGACAGACAGCTAGCGCGAGGTATCTAGCGGCCTGGTTCGAACATCGGCAGCAGCGATGGCGAGATCGCAGCATTGTGGTTGTAGAAGAAGTATCAGCAACAGCACCATGAGAATTACGACTGGCAGCTCACATCTATCTGTGTCCTTTTCACTCCGCTCACACAACATCAACGACAAAGCGAATCCAATGTGCACAGCCCGACGAGTGTTGCAACACCAGCTGTTATCGGTTGCATTAGCATGACGACGACGACTCCGGGCAGCTCACAGCCATCTGTGTCCTTTCATACGCTACGGCTTCTCATTACTTCCTCCCCTCTCGGACCAACAACAAACTCATGCATAGACAGGATCCAATGCCCCCCAGCCTCTTGCGTTGACGGTCCTTGGGACCCCCCTCCCCTCTCCTCTCCCTCTCCTCTCCTCTCTTGCTTTCTTGCTTTCTTGCTCGGGCCCAACGAACAGCGCACAGTCGGGCCCACTGGGTAACTCGGGTTACATGCTGGACCGGGGTGGGGTTAGAAGTCTGTCGTCACCGTCGGACGTATTTCATGACGAGAAAGGTATTTCCGTCCTCCGTTGCGGTACCCGTAGCGGAGTTCGACAAGGAGACGGAGCGGAGAAAGTTCTGTCTGGCGTTCGCGTACCGGCGAAGCGCCTCGAGATTTCTCGGGACCGGTCGGCGGGTTCTGCTCATCATGCACTTCATGTGGAGTTTTGTTTTTTCCTTTTACCTGCTCAATTGGGCTCTAGTGTTTAAAGCGGCCTTTTTCTTATTCTATATTTTCCCAAATCAGTAATTCGTTTCATTAAGAAGCGAGCCCCGCAGATTTCGACATCAGCGCTAACCGCCTTCTCGCAGCAACAAGCCTGTGGTTCTTTTGATTTATTGGAATACTGGCCGACATGGTTGGGACATATTCCTTCTTAACCTAGGGTCAGGGTAAGATGCGAGTCCCTTCAAGTTGGTTAGTTCCCCATCCTTCTGGTTAGATTAGTTTCTGTGCCCACTCTCCTTTTGGTTGTTTCCTACATTTCACAAGAAAAACATGCCTCACGAAGATGATCATCTCTCCGGCACCCACCTCCCGGCTAACACACGAAAATACAACACAATACGGTTAGGATGCTGCCTCGCAACGTTTTCTTCCTTCATTTGGAAGCAACGAAGTGCATAAACACGTCGTTGAAGTCGCGACTCATGAACAAATGGCAGTACGGCTTTATCGGTATTTGAGGTCTCCCACGGGAATACCTGACAATAATTAATGTCTTATGACAACTCCCCACGTGAGAATCGTCAAGAAATTAGCTTTATTCTGCATCGGGATTTTCCGGTCAAGTCTGCCTTTCTCAAAAAAATTCCTTCTTGGTTTATTTTCCTTTCTTTCTTTCCTGTATGGCCTTCTGCCAAGTAAATTACTAGCACTTTCAGCCGTTATGTACACTTCACCTTAAAATAATTTTAAATTCAATATAAGTCAGAAAAGAGCATTCCAATTTCGAAATAGTCAGAAAACTCTTCGTGTATGAGAAAAGTGGGCGAAGAATTTTAAATGCATATATTATTTCAGTAATTTAATAACATAAAAGGTAAACTGTGCAAGAATAAGGCAAAAGTTATGGAAATATACTATCAAGTCCTATAATATGACATCTCATCAAATCTACAGAATTAGATTTTGATATGTTTACGAAGCAGTTTGGAAAAACTGCAAAAAAGTATATTTTATTTCAAGTCTGCTGTGCTAATGTAGGCTGCTGGATTTCATAAAATTATAAAAAGCCCTAGCCATTGTGATAAAAAATTCAAAATATTCACATCAGACTCAGCACAAAAAGTTCATGTCTTTCATTTCAATGAGTCTACTTGCACATAAGAAGAAAAACTTCTTTAATCAAAAACCTATAGCAAAGCGGAGAATTCAATCCTCGGCTTTACAATTTGTCTTTTTTGGATTTGATAAATACATGCTCATTGTGGACATTAGAAAAATGTTGGATTCAGTCTAAATCACAACACTTTTTCCCTTCTAAAAACATGTCTTGAAAATCAAGATTTATCCATGACACGCATCAAATAAAGCTGATAAAGATAAAAATGCGGAACTAAAATTTGAGCCTTATAGTTCTTTATGTTGAATCTTTCAGATAATTTTTAACTACACTTATCTTGATCATAAATCTCATTTTCAAGTCTATTTTTGGAAAAAATTTGATACTAGATTTTTAATCATTAAATTTGAAAATAAATGGAAATTTTAAATTTACAAATAATTATAAGTTTGAAAGCTGTCATATCATGCACATAAATACCAGAATATTCAAAAAAATTCATATTTTTCCTTTTTTATGCATGTAATTATCAAACAAAGACCACGTTTGATTAATATTTTTAGTATTTAATGGAGAAAATGTATGTAAAGCTTGATCAATTAACCATGTTTTTTTGTTGCTACAATAAACATTAAGTAAATCATTCACTAAGAGATGTGAATCATATAATATTTTGATGAGAATACATTTATATTTTGAATAAACTAATTGTTTTATGGTTTTATATTACAACTTGGACCTGACTTACTGAATTTGACTAGAAGTTAAAAGTTAAAAAATAGTTTAACACAAATTCGAAATTTTCATCAATAAATCAAAATATTCAAATTGTGAAATAATAGAGATTTTTATACACATGACTATATACATATTGGAGCAACAAAATAAAAATGATAAAAATCACTTTGATTTAAATTTTATAGTTAATAAAACCGTGAATTTATAATATTTTCAAAATATATTGAAATGAAAAAATATTTATGATTTTATTTGCATATTAAATCCAATAATAGGATTTAAAATTAAATGCGACATAGAATTAATATCATCTCAAGTCATCAAAAGTAAAAAAAAAACATATTTTTTTAAGAAAAATGAGTTTGATTTTATATGTAAACTTTAAAAAAATATTAAGAATTCAATGAAATGTAATGAAAACTTGTATTGGCATTTTTTTTAAAAAAGAAAGTTTCAAAATTTACATTGCATTTGAATTAATTGTGTTTCAGTTTTTAAACTCTTCAAAATGTCAAAGTTGCATAAAAATTTATAGGATTGATGAATTGTTTTAATATAAATACTAAGTGCATAATATTGATTTCAATTTTTATTTTATAATCAATTAAATTATTAAAAACCTTAAAATTGGTCATATTCTAATAATTATCCATTATATAAAATTATAATCACAAAACATTTAAAATCATAAAAAGGGGAAAAATCCATGCTTTAAAATATAATATTTATGTCAAAATAAATATTCAAAATGTTCCATATGTTCAATCAAAATGTTAAAATGTTCACTAAAATCTTAATTAACAGATAGAACAAGTATTTCATTGTTTGAACCATCAATAATGTCAAGTTTTAACTATTATATATATTTATTATATTATATTTCTAAAGATAAATCAAACATGAATATTTTTACATATCAAATCAAATTCTTATTAATGAAAAAAAATTCATCAATAATAAGAGCCTAAATTTTTAAATAATCTATGATTCATTTTGTTTATGATTTACAATTATGAGTTATGTTTTTTTTTCAAATTGATAAAAATGAATCTTGTTAAAAAAATAAATAAATGATCTCGGTCACAATAGATTCAAATTGGCAGCAAGAAAAATCAAAATTTGAACCGTACAGTAGCTTTTTTCTTTAATATGATTTAGCCTAAAATTTTGAATTGAAGAACAATGTGTTCATTGATTTACAGTTGTCAACAAAATCTCTTGTTGGATTTGATGATCTTCAATATATTATTTATTTGTAGAATCCAAGTCATTTTTACGTAAAAATTTGGATAACTCAATGAATAGAATATATAATTCTCAACTGCAAGGTTAGTCTTTTGATTTTACATATACACGTTTTGATTATTTTCTTCCCATAATCAATTAGTTTTGATTTGTTCAAAAAAAAAATATGATTAATGAATCTTTTTTTACAAATGACCATCATTTTTAGACTAATGAAACTCATTTCAAATTAAAACTATTTTGGCCAATATCATATAGTTTTGATTTGTTTTAACAAGATTAATTTTATTTTTAAATTTTTTTCATAAAACTCAATTTCTATTTAAAAAAATTTCATCTTATTTTTTAACTATCTTGATGATGATTTTTTTGATTTGATTCGTTCAATCCAGAATCATTTTATTTTGAAATAATTTTAAATGAGCGTGCAATTTCTAATTGCA